TCTCTCTCTCTGCCCTTTCCCTGCTTGCTCTCATGCCTTCTCTCTCACAATAAAAAAACATTAAGGAAACCAGAATTCTGCAAGGCATCTAGTCCAACATCTCAGAGACCGAAAGGGAGTTCCTTTCTCTCAAGTCCGCTAACACAGTGCAGCATTTGCAGAAGGAGCCTGTGAGAAGGGAGGCTCATTGGCTTAAAAGATTGCATGTGCCTAGTCTAGTTGGTTGAAACTCCATTTTACAATGAGGAAAATGAAGCCTGTTGGATTGTGACCTACCTGATGTGACACGGCAGCTGAATGTTTCCTGGGGAGAAACTCATGAGGACCCTGACCAAAACGAGAGTACTGAAAGCCGTGGGATTGGACTTCTTGGATGTGGAAGTGGGAGGGTGTCTGTCTGTGTGCAAGCTTGAAACTTCTCCTGATCCACTCAGGTCACAGTTTTACTAGTGCCTTTGCAGAGCAGTTTCTGGTGGAAATTAATATATTGATTTTTATTCCAGAATACAGATGCTGTTCATCTTGCTCTGAAATTAAATAATTCTGAACTGATGGGAAGAAAACTCAGAGTCATGCGTTCTGTCAATAAAGAAAAATTAAAGCCAAATTCAAATCCCTGTTTGAAGAATGTCAGTAAACCTAAGCAGGGACTTAATCTCGATTCAAAAAATATAGGACATTCTAAAAGTTTGTTTATTGGAGAAAAAGCTGTTCTCCTTAAGAAGAAAAAGAAAGGGCAGAAGAAAAATGGACGGACTAAGAAACAGAAAAAACAGAAGTAACAATCCGAAGATTATTTTGCTCCCATGAGTACTCATAATAAAACTGTGGTAAACCCATGTATCGAGTTGCAGAATTTTTTATGGACAGTACGTGTGAAACGTGGGAACATTTTTAGTTCATTCACATTGTAATAGCACCTTTGAAGCATTTGTTTTAAGATGTACACAGATGAGTCACCAATGATTATGTGTTACTGCTGATGGTGTAAGACATTATTTTATACTTAAGGTAAACACTTAGAATTTTAGTGATTATGAAAAAAAAATCTTGGTGGTTATATATTAGCATCTGATGGGAAAATGTAACTAACACTTGAGACAGTTGTTTCAAGAATCACTTGGGATGAGGGGCAAAGAATTACTTGGGATGAGACTAAATTAAAGTGAGTAAATTAAAAAAATATATATATGTATATATATACACACATACCTTAATACAGATTGGACCTAGATAGGCCGGAATATCTATCTAATACAAATCACAATCCCAAAGAAGAATGTTTGAAGGGCTGTTATATAACAGCCAATGATTTTTTTCCCCCCTTTCTCTTGAACTTGTGAAAAGTGGAGTTCTGGGTTTTTATTTTAATTCATCAACCTAGTAATAAACTAACCAAAGAATATTATATTGAAATGTTGCTTTGATTTCTTATTCTCAACCGGTAATTAAACTCGTTATTGAAGTCCTTGATAAATTGTCTATAAAGCAGATCTCTTCTTTTTTTCAATTTGAAAAATACTCTCCCGGAAAATCTCATGATTCTTAAATTGATGCCATGCAGTAGTATGAAATGAAACAATCTTTCAGAAATACCCTATTTAAAGGATATTTTCTGATAAAATATGTAATTAGGCCACAAAGTGTAAAGTTCAACAAGAGGAGAGAATACCATTGTATTGCCTTGGGGCTTAAGCTTGTGCTATAGCTGTCGCCCCTCTCACAGATCTTACCAAGCTGCGTCTGTATCCGGGAGGGGGAGGTGGGGGAAATCCAAGGATGCTGATCTGAGGCAGGCAGAATCAGTGATGCAGGTGTCCTGTCACTTGAGTGGAGAAGGGGATTGAGGGACAGTCAGTTATTCCTGATTATTTTGAAAATCCCACCTTTTGGTTGTAGCACCAGGGAAACCTAATGATTTTTAAAGTGTAATTTGTAGAAATCAGCTCTATTTTACTGTTTCCAGAGACTGGGTATTTTATGCTTAGCATCCCCTATGGTTCTTAGAATCTAGGCTTTTGTTAAGTATGGTTCAGGAAATACTTATCCTGATAATCTTGAGCATTTTTGCATATACTTCCAGTTAAAGTTACATAAAGATGCATCACCTATAGACCATATAGAACTATGACTGTAGATGTAGACTATATGTAGCATATATTTTTATTGTGTATACTTTATAGTGTGTATTAGTGTATATTTTATTATGTAAAATTCCGTGTATGTATAAATATTTAATTTTAGCCTTTTTTTCCCTTTCATAATTTAGTTTTTATTGGTTGTTCTGATACGTAATTTTAGTCTTTAACACAGGATGCTCCTTTTGGTCTTTAGGTTTTTGTGTAAAGAACCATGGGCTGCAGTGTAAGGGCATCTGGTTCTTGACGCACCTTTGTGCATGACCTTGGACAAGCCTCTCAGCCTCTTTATCTAAATATCTTGATTGAAGAAATAAGGGACTTTAACTTTATTCTGTGACCAGTACATAGATGGATATATTTAACTGACATGAAAGTTTCACATGACATTACTGGTCCTTACTATACATTTCATTTTCTGATATTTCAAATTGTTTTATTAAAAACACCATTTGAGGGGCACCTGGGTGGCTCAGTCGGTTAAGTGTCCAACTTTGGCCCAGGTCGTGATATGGTTCCTGAGTTCAAGCCCTGCATCGGGTTCTGTGCTGACACCTCAGAGCCTGGAGCCTGCTTCGGATTCTGTGTCTTCCTCTCTCTGCCCCTCTCTTGCCCATGCTCTATCTTCTCTGTCTCTCAGAAATAAACATTTAAAAAAAATTTTTTTAGCTACCTGTTATGATCCACCAGTACCCCACAACCCACTAATGATTTCACTCACAAACAAGTGCATAAGGGATTCCAGGCTGTTTATATTTTGGGATTCTATGCTTGCATTTTACAACAGGGGTTTTAAAATATAGAGTGGTTAAGGGAAAAGGACAGATGTTGCTCTAACTGTGCTTTGTATAAACATGTTGCCTGGTATATTGAACCAAAGTAGTGACCTCAACATTTATACCATGTTTACTATGCACAACACAGGGATGGTTCTTTGTTCATTTAGGAGTCGTAATCTAATGGCCATGCAGTCTGTTCAAGTTTTCAAGAGTGAAGTTCTAGGCCTCATGTCATCTGTCCGGCCTTGGATAAGTTTTTTCCTGTTCCAAACACATCTGAGGCTCAGGATATATCTCTAACAGCTGAGGTCACTGGCAAGTTTGGGGACAAGAAGAATCAGAATGTGTGCAGCACAAACGGAAAAGCTTTTTGTGCTACTCTGTTGTGTGTAAATTTCAGTTACTATCTTTGCTTTGGTACATAATGCATCTCAATATCCTTCCCTCTCCACCCCAGTCCAGGCAATGCATACATACCTTTGGTCCTATGTCTGGTCTTCCATTGGGTCTCAAATTCATCATCATCTAAGCAAAGGGCTTTCCTGAACTCCTGGACTAGGTTAGGGGCTCCAGCTAAATGTTTCCATAAGTACCCTTGCAGTAACTTCTGACAGCAACGACCCAGAATTAGGTCAAACTTCGTAGGTTGAGCACAGTCTCCTACAAGACTGCCTTCAGACAGGAGACAAAAACTGGGGAGTGGGGGTCTCCAGATCGCTCTCTTAGGACTAGCTGGCTACTAGTTTGGGGGTTCCCACTACCCCCTCAGGTTCAATAATTGGCTATAAGGGCTTAACTCAGGAACATAGTATACTTAATTTTTAAGATTTATTTAAGTAATCTCTGCACCCAACATGGGGCTGGAACTCACAAGTGGGAGATCAAGAATCCTATGCTCCTCTGACAGCCAGTAAGGCACCCCAGGAACATGTTATACTTATGATGACAGTTTTATTACAGCAAGAAAAAAAAAATTACAAACCAAACCAGCCAAAGGGAATGACACATGGGGAGAGGTCTGGGAGAGTCCCACAGATGAAGCTTCTGTTGTCCCCTCCCTATGGCATCACAACACCTCACCCTCCTAGCACATGGCACATCAGTGTAGAATTACCCAGTGTATTGTCAACCTGGGAGGCTCACCTGCTTCTGTGTCTTGCGTATTTAAGTTTCATTATATAGGCCATTTCAATCTCCAGTTCGCTTCTGCTCCAACTCCCTGATCTTCCCAGGGGTAGGGTTGATATCACCCGGATCAAAGTCTCAACCCTCTAACCACATGGTTGGTCTTTCTGGCCTGGCTAGCCCCCATCAGAGTGGACTCTGCATAAACTGCCAGGGCCCACCCTGAATCAGAGACATCTTTGTCACTCCCAGGGTTTAAGAGGTTCCCTCCCTATGACTGGGGACAGAGGTAGTCACATTCTCATGACACAACCCTGAAGGTCCCTTTTCTCCCTTACCCCTCTCAATTTATAGTTATTTAATGCCTTTCTAGCACAAGGTTTTGTCTTTTCAAACTACCATATATAATGTTACCAGTGATTATAAGACAACTCATGTTTTCAATTTTCTTCCATCTCTTTTATCCATTATATTTTTCCAGGAATCAGCGTCATTTTCTTCCACCCCTCACGAGACTATATTGTTAATATTCTTTCGACACTGGATCACTAGATTCTGTTGCTCGCTGTACAGCAGATTGTGACTGAACTTGAAAAGCAAATTCAGTTCAATTCAAACGAGTCACAGGTTGTCTATATTACACAAGAATAACACGAGGCATTTGTCACCAGTCCCTTCCATTTTTGGCACAAGTAAAAAAGTCAGCTTCAAAGTCTTGACTATGTGACTGGCGGCCACGCACCGCCTTAGTGTTACTGTGGGGATGTCACGCTCAGCAGCACTCCGGGAAATGCGGGCTCACTAGCAAAACGCTGACGCCAACGCACATCCCTCCCGGGGGCGCCTAGGCTACAGAGCTTAGGCCCCCTGCGCAGGCGCAGAAGCGGCGCGGGGACCTGCCGTTCAGGCAGTGCCGCGGACGCACCCGAGGGCCTCGCTCGGCTGGGGCCGGAAGTGCGTGCGTTCGGCCTTTCCGCGTCCCTCGCGTCGAGCGACAGGTCGCGGCGGCGCGGTCCGCTGTGAGGACTCGCGGCCAACTGCCTCTACGCCGGCCCCGACGCCGCCGCGCTCGCCCCTGCCCCTCGGTTGAGAGAAGATGGTGGGCCGCAACAGCGCCATCGCCGCCGGTGTCTGCGGGGCTCTTTTTATCGGTTATTGCATTTACTTTGACCGCAAGAGACGGAGTGACCCCAACTTCAAGAACAGGCTTCGAGAACGTGAGTGGGTCCCCTCGGCCCTGGGCCCGCAGCCTCTCCCCGCCTCCGCGTGCCTGCTCCTCGCTGCAGCGCGCGAGGGGATATGGGGGGTGCGAGGGGCGTCGGGGGTGCCGGGCGGCCGCTTGCCTACCAGCCGGAAAAAGGCCGAGGCGCCGGCTGCGCGCTCCCGTGCAGCTCCTGCCTCCGGGGCTCCACATGATTCCCTCCATTTTGGAGGGACGATTTTTCCCATTTTGTCTTCCCCCAAACATTTGGCGTGTGAATGCACTCTGGTTTGTGTTATGATTTAAGGGGCGGCGGGGGGGCTCTTTTTGCAGGTCGCCTGTTTAACCTTACTCTTTTCATGGCTCGAGAGTCATGTGTTTTGTATTTTTCCGAAATTGTGCTTGAAACGTGCTCCGCACATCTAGCCGTATCGCTGCTGCATTCTTAAACCCTCTTGGTAGCTTCCCCGAAAATGCTTCCAAGATATGAGTGAATGCTACAGAAATCGCAGGGGAGTCCAAAAGGCTGCGCCTCTCCTGTGCCTCGGTCTTATTTCATACCTGCGACATCTTTTACGAGACATTGACAATGAGGGAGGTCTTGCCAACCAAACCACTGTGATCTTTCAATTTCGGAGGCCTCAAAGAGCAAATTTGTAGCAATAAGATTTTTGTAACTTTTCTAGGTTGCTCAGTCAAAACGGTTTCTAAAATTAAAATTGAAATGTAAGTTAGTAAAGCCCAGAACGTTATGAAGAAATGATTGGTCTATTTCATACTTAGGGTTTAATTAAGCTATAGTAGGTTGTCCTCGGTGTTGAGTTAGCCCCACGTGGCCAGTGACCTACCCTCTTGGGGGTAGAAGATGATCTTGTAGCATCTACAATTGATCCCCTAATTCCCCCTGTCTTCTGTTTTAGAAGGGAAGGGATACAGAGAATTTGTTCTATTTACAGTTAGATAGACTAATGGAGAGGATGCCATTTTGTGTTCAGAAACTCAGTTTTCCAGGCCCTGATTAGTCACAACGTCAGCTGCATAATTTGGGGCTTTCCGAATCTTAATTTTCTTAGTTGGTAAAATCAGGTAGTGCCCACCACCATTCCTGGCCTAGAGAAAGCCGTCCATAAATGCTGGCTGTAAACATAACTAGAAATTCAGATCGTTTTCTTGTCCTTTCCATTTCAATACCAGTAGGAGGGGTGATGGTGGTGGTATGGCTGTAGAGCTCTGTAAAGAATAGATTAATCCTCTCTTCCTTTGGAAACACTGCAATCCTGTGAGAAACCTTGAGAAAACTAACTTTTGGCTGAAGAAGTCAATGATAAAAGCTGTCCTTTTAGACAAATTGATTTTCAAAATCCCTCTTCCATCTTCTGCAATCCATAATTTTTTTTTCCAGCATTAGCAGTGGGTCTCTGCACTGATCTCCGTGGTCAGTTGAATTATTAGCTGAGTAACGTTGGGCAACCAACTTAAAGCTTTAGTTTCCCTCTTTTGTAAAATGTTATATACAGAGTTTAGTACAGTCTCCGGCACATGGTAAGTGATGGATGCTAAAGAGTGTTTATGAATATAATTATTTATCTGACATTTTCTTTAGGAAGTAAAACTTATTCAGAGTAATTCTGCAGTCTAAGTTCCTGTTTTATGTGTATTTTTAAAAGTAGATAGTCTGTTTTGTTAGGTTTACACGGTAGCACTTGGGACTAATTTCTAGTAAATATTGAGCCAGCGGCTGAATTTGCTTGTTGAATGCATAACTCTATAGTGTTTTAGTCTGTTACCATCTTTCCTTTTATTATAGGGCTAGTATTATGTACTGATAGGGTAACACCCTAAATTGTCTTATGAAACTAAAGCTAGAAACTTACTGGTAGAAATTTAAAAGAATGAATCCATCTTAAAATTGGTGACATTCAACAACAATCACTCCTTTCCATCCTATTAAAAAAAAAAAACTATTGAGTAGTAATGGAAAATAAGTTCCTCTCTACTGGGTCTCATTGTTTTTGTCATTTTTCATAAAGTCTGGCTTAGCAAACTGTACGTACCTGTTTATGCCCTATACTTGCTTTGTTCATTTCTAAGGTGCCATTTATTTTTTATGGTTAGAAGGTAGAGGAGGGACAGTAGAGCATCCCCCAAACTGAGAAAGTTATTCCCCACAGATTACTTAGTCCACAGATTTATAGATGAAGGGACTAGCAGAAGGGCATTGTTGCAAGATCAAAAGGTTCACACACATCTCAGCATTTGCATTGACGTAAATGACTGCTTCCCTTTAATTAGATACTGTGGCACCACGTGTGTGTCAGGAAGGAGAAAGAATATGTACTCTATCACAGATTCGTGGGAGGCCAAAAAAAGCCTTCCCCGGTCTTCACCTTGGGCCTTTTTGTAAGGTAGGCGCATTAATCTCCAAGGGTGCTGGAACACGTAGTCCCAGGAGAGATCATCCAGTGAGCTTGAACAGGATGGAAGGCCAAAGAAGGAGTATGGTGGGCACTCTTACAGCTTCTCGACAGTGTAGGGGCCATATAGAATGTTTGAGTACATGTGTTCTGAAATTCAGCTGCTTGCTTTTGAATTGCCCCTCCACCATTTATTAGCTGTGACCTTGGTAAATGTCCTCAAGTGGAATTGCTAATTGTACCTGTAGTGTTACTGTGGGGAGTAAGCCAGTTAATATTTAGAATAGTGTCTGGCACGTAGCATCTAAAACTTACTGAGTGCTTATCCTTAACGTCTAAGTGTTCCTTTGTCTTCGTGTCTGGTTCTTCTGTGAAGCCTTCCACTTCTCTTCTGGCCATAGTAGTCTCCTTCCAGCACTGGTGATATTTAGTAATTACTTAATATAGTATGGTATTCATTATTTTCTGCCTAAAGACAGACAAATGGCGGACACCTGGGTGGCTCAGTTGGTTAAGGGTCCGACTCTTGATTTTATCTCAGGTCATGATCTCCCACTTCTTGAGATCTGAGCCCTGCCTGACAGTGTGGAGCCTGCTTGGGATTCTCCCTTCTTCCCTCCTCCCCTTCCCCCACTTGTGTGTGCACATGTGTGTGCACTCTTTCTCTCTCTCAGTAAGTAAACGTTAAAAAAAAAAGGTGGGCTTTCTTCAAATTTACATACAAGATCAGCTTATTTAACCGATATTGTTTTTTTGAACCTGCTAGAATTGTATTTAAGCCTTAGTGTTGTAGCAGTTTAGGTATACTGGAGGCTAGAGTTGACAAGAGTTACTGATGTGGTTAAACCCAGTTTGTAAGACTAGGTAAGAAATTTCCTGGACAGAGTAAATTCACCTATCTCACTGCACTTAGGCAAACAGGTCACTGCCTCTTTAGTCATGCACTGATTAGACTCAGATTTGTAGAACACTAAGGTTTTCAAAGGACATTTGCTTGTTTCTCACATTGCTTTTCTTTCTCACACTAGTAAGATTAAACTTGCCTTTGCAGAGTTAAGAGATGTATTTGCCAAAGATCACCCCCATAATCATTTGAGTCTTACCTTTCTTAGCTGTGCCAGCCTCCCATGTCACTGGTAGTTTTAACGGCTAGTCATTTAGCATAGCACAGCTCCTTAGCTGAGGAGCTGGTATTGAACTATCTCAATACCAAATGCTTACAGAGGTAGTTCATTACCAACTCCTCGTATGACACATGATAAACTGGACAGAGCTAAGAAATATTTTAAATACATTAACTCATTTAGTCTTCACCAGAACTCTGTGAAGCATGTACTGTTCTAGACCAGTTTTACATATGGGTAAAGTGGGGTACAGGTTACTGTAACTTGCGCAGGTCACACTGGGAGTGGGAAGAGCTGGGGTATAAACAATGCTGGTGCTTCCTCTGTGCCAACACCCCCTTCACGTGGAGTATATAATTAAATAGCAATTTTAAAAAACCGTCGGTGTCGTTTATTGAGTTGGCTTAGGGGTTGACTAATTGATGATTGAGATTTTAAACATCACTTACTTCTGAGATATGTAGTATTGCTTTTTCATATCAAAAACAAGACAAAGAAACAAAAAAAACTTCCAGACTGTAGGGAGAGGTTTTTCCTTTTTTTTCTTTTAATTTTTTTCCAATGTTTGTTTATTTTTGAGAGAGAGACAGAACATGAACAGGGGAGGGCCAGAGAGAGAAGACGACACAGAATCTGAAGCAGGCTCCAGGCTCTGAGCTGTCAGCACAGCCTGACATGGGGCTTGAACTCATGAACTCTGAGTTCATGACCTGAGCTAACATCGGATGCTTCATCAACTGAGCCACCCAGGTGCCCCAGCAGAGGTTTTCTTTTCTTAACCTGCCAGCAGTAGTTAAGACTTTTGCAGTGGATTTCTGAACACTGTCCTCTTACCCCCTCTTGTTTTCCCATTTAGGAATGTCCTACAGCTTTCAGCATGCGATAGAGATGAAATCTCGTGTATTCCACTTACACTTTCCCACAGCAGTGCCTTAATTCATGCTTGTATTTCATGTCCTGTATAGATTGGGGGTGGGAGGCTTGCCCTCTTGTGGTAATTAATTAATCAACTGTTGGAACTGTCTCTATCTTGAAAATTGGTGATCTTGGTGCCCCAGACAGAAGGAAAAAGCCCTTGCCCAGAAATGTCACATTGTTCATAGCTCATTGACGAGAACTATTGATGTGACCTTGCCAAATCACAAGGAGTCAGGAGACACGGAGAGCCCTACTCAGGGATCTTTTGCAAATAGCATATATGACTGTCAACAGCAATTTGACTCTTTTGATACCCATTTTAATGATGATAAAATGAAAATATTCCATGTCTTGCAGGAAGAAAGAAACAAAAGCTTGCCAAGGAGAGAGCTGGACTTTCCAAGGTAATACTCAGTCTGTGTTTTTGTTTAGGTTGTATAATTTGCTTTATAGATCACTTGAAATACATATTTTGAGAAAGCTAGTTGATAACGGGCATTGATTTTTTATTTTAAAATATAATTTGTTGGTTTTGGAATAGTTCAACTGCAGATTACTTGGTCCATCATTATTTCCCCTATGTTGGCCTTCACAGACAACTTATAACATGAGCAGTATTTAAGGGGCAGTAAGATGATAGTCTCCAGAAAACAATTTTACCGAAAGGTTCAAACTTTCTCACTCAGCTGCTTCAGAATAATACAGTACGTTAATTGTATATTTTCCTTCATTCAGTTTCATTTAAAAGAACCACATGCTATTGGTTTCAAAAGTTATATAGGATTATTCATACCCACTGATCGAGAATTCCACAGCATGGCACATTTTTACTTTAATGTAATATGTACACGTAGATATAAATCGTTTTACTTTTTTCTTTTAATAGATCCTGTGTTCATGATTTTTTTCACGATTATTTTTAATGACTACATTGGTTTCTCTGATAAAAAAATGTTCTGTGACATGTGTAAGTCAAGTAAATGTTAGTCATTGCACATATGGCTTTTCCTTTTTATTAAAATTAGTTCCGTAGCTTGGACTGGTGGTTCTTTTTAAAGCAAGTTGGACAAAAAGAAAAAGAAAAAAAAAAATATCAAGTTGGGACAAGGAAAATTAAATTTATAAATGTTTTATTTTCTTATTTTGATACAACTGAGTAATCACCACACAGCTAACAGACTGGACGTGATGATAGGGAAGTGAAACGCAGAGGCAGCCACTTTGTTCCATTATGTGCAGACTCCCTTTCTGAAATATGTAGTATGTTCATAATATGTCAGTAACCTTTTCTCTCAGGACATGGGAAAGTAGGTATAGACACATGCACCTGTGTATGTTTTTAAATTCAGGTATAATCACATTTGTGCCTGTGCTGGGTTGGCTGCTGAAAGATGCCTCTACTTTCAGAGGGTTAAGTTTTTTGTGTGTATGTTGGTAGTGAGAATGTATAGAAGTCAGAAATCAAATTTTCAGTAATAGAAGTCAATTTTTTTAAATAAAACATGACTTTTTTTTTTTTTTAAGTTTGTTTATTTTGAGAGAAAACGAGAGATGGAGAGAATCCTAAGCAGTCTGTGTCCTAGCTGCACAAGGCCTGGTGTGGGGCTTGAACTCACACACTGTGAAATAATGACTGAGCCACCTAGGTACCTCAAAACAGGACGTTTTAATAGTAGGTTTACATTTTTTTAAAAGACAAGTCCTAGGGCACCTGGGTGGCTCATTCAGTTAAGCAGCTGGCTCTTGGTTTTGGCTCAGGTCAGGGTTTTAGGCTATCTCAGGTTTGTGGGTTTGAGCCCCGCATCAGGCTATGTGCTGATAGTGTGGAGCCTGCTCAAAATTCTCTCTCTCTGCCCCTCTGTCCCTCAAAATAAACTTAAAGAAATAAAAAGGTTAAGTCCTATAGCTGGTGGCATTATATATTACCATAGTCTGGTAGTACATAACGAACTACATAACCAAAGTCTTACCAAAATAAAGCCACTTGTAACTTTTAATAGCAAAGAAATTAGAAGTAGCTCAAATGTCCAACAAGTAGATCATGATTATGTGATCATATTTCTCCATGGAATATTCTCCTACCATTTACATGTAATCTTTTAGATGCTGTAAAGTCTATTCAAAATAATGGATCAGAAGAACAGTTGATTATAGTTATATAAAAATGTATAATAACAGGGATTGAAATAGTGTAAATAGTACATTGCATATTTTATGGTATAGATAATTGTACTCTTTTTACTTTAAGATTGGTGCGCAGTTTTCTAAGAACTGTTCTAATTTCAGTTTAATCAGTAAGTTATTTTGCATTCATTTTAAATGTTGATACTAAACTATAATGCTTGTGAGTATTGAAGAGTAAATTTCTTTTTATCATTTTTTGTAATGAGCTATTCTGTTTTTAGTGGCATGATTTTCTGTGTATTGGTTTTATCTCCAGCATAATTTTGGTATCATATAGTAAATATTCTGTTTCCAAACAGTTACCTGACCTTAAAGATGCAGAAGCTGTTCAGAAATTCTTCCTTGAAGAAATACAGCTTGGTGAAGAGTTGCTAGCTCAAGGTAATAGTCATTAAAAGACTAGGAAAATAGAATGCTTCACACTAATACAAATTTGTGGCAGTAAGGGACTCTTGTGTGTGTAGCATAGCAGCTGTTAAAAAAGGGTATTCTAATATTTCAAGACAAGCCACTTAATGGGAGGATTATTTAAGACTGGCTCTTGGGACACCTGGGTGGCTCAGTTGGTTAAGCGCCTGACTTCAGTTTAGATCTCACAGTTCTTAAGTTCAAGCCCCGTGTCAGGCTCTGTGCTGACAGTTCAGAGCCTGGAGAGCCTGCTTCATTCAGATTTGGTGTCTCTCTCTCTCTGTCCTTCCCTGTTCTCTCTCAAAAATAAACATTAAGAAAGGGGTGTTTTTAAAAAGAGATTTTTTCTGCCCTCCTCCCCAACTAGTGTGTGCACGCTCTCTCTCTCAAAAAAAAAAAAAAAAAAAAAAAAAAAACTGGCTCTAGGAATAAATACTTGTGGGCTATCCTTGTCCATAATATGTTTTGAGTGAGTTTTAGGTTTACTTGTTACATGACACAGAGAATAGAAGTTATCTTTATAAATGAGATTATTTTTTAGCAGTTTTGAGAATGTAGTCCTAATACAGTGTATAAATAGTAATTGGAAGAATATGATCCAGGAATATGCTTCCTCAACTTCATCTAATCTTTAGGTCTTTTCCAGTATTTATAGTAAGGAATGAGTCATATATTTCACAGAGAAGGTTAATTTACCTGTCTGGGTCACACAGTGAGTTCATGGTGCTTGATTTCAGGACCAGTCAGTGAACTGAATCTGATCTAGAGTTTAGGCTTTGTGCATTATGCATTCAATTAAGGATTAAGAGTTCTTTTTTTAGGGGCTCCTGGGTGGTTCGGTCAGTTGAGCATGTCTGACTGACTCTTGATTTCCGGTCAGGTCATGATCTTATGTGTGAGATTGAGCCTTGCATCAGGCTCTGTGCAGATAGTGCAGAGCCTGCTTGGGATTTTCTCTCTCCCTGTCTGTCTCTATCCTGCTCATCCACATTCTCTATCTGCCTCCTCCCGCCACCCCCCACTCCGTCTCTCTCTCTTTCTCTCAAATAAACTAAAAATAAAAGTTCTTTTTTTTAAAACATTACTATTACAAATTTAAAATGATCATGCTGACACATTGAAAACTATAACTCAGTAATTTAGAGTCTTAAATGTATTTGTAAATTTTTAGTGTCAAATTACCTTTTATTTCAAAAGTAGCTTTGTAGTAGTAGTTGCTATCATTGATAGAAAAAGAGTATCAAGTGTCAAATTTTTCTTATGCATATTGCTATATCTTAGATTTAGATAGTATTGAACTATACCATGTAGGTAATTTGTGGTTTTTAAACTTATTTTTAAGGAAAGAGATGAAAGGTTTGAGGTGATGGTGATGTGTTACTTTTATTCATGTTTCCCCCTTTCCAGTAATTTCTTTGCTTTTTTCTTTCAGAAATAATGGTCTTATTTGGATGTTACAGTAGGCTAATAAAAGTGGAAATTTCTTACTAGAAAATAATTTTGGCTTTTTTACCCCAATTCAGTAAGACACTTGTGAGGTTTAATCATAGAACCACCCTCCTGGGTTTTTTGTTTGTTTGTTTTTTTGTTTTGCATGTGATAATATTCAAATAGTGTAAGGGATTAGTGTAAAGTGAATTTGGGCTTCTTTTTCACCTCAGTCCCCAGCCTTCAGTTCTTTCTTCTCTTAGAAAAATACTGTTCCATAGCAATTTTGTATTTAATCTTTCAGAAATATCCTAAGTCTGTAAACAGTAATATACTTGGATATTTTTGCACTTAATTTCTCCCCTTTTGTATCTGTTTTGTGGGCACTGCCATATCTGTGCATGTGATCTGATTCATTCTTATTAATAATTTCATAATATTCAGTTATGTGAAGGTACTGTAGATTATTTCCAAGTTTTTACTTCTGTGATGTTTTTGGTCATTATCACTTGGGAGACCTAATGAAGGCTGTAAGTTGAATTTTTGACAAAAGCATAGGCTTTCCAGGCCACGTTACTTTTATGTAAATCTTTCAGGTGAATATGAGAAAGGTGTAGACCATCTGACAAATGCAATTGCGGTGTGTGGACAGCCTCAGCAGTTGCTGCAAGTGTTACAGCAAACTCTTCCACCACCAGTGTTCCAGATGCTTCTGACCAAGCTTCCAACAATTAGTCAGGTAAGGATTTAAAATGTTAATAAAAGTGAGTAGAATCTGCAAAAGAAATGTTATAGGGACATCACATTTCAAAATTAGCGAATCCATAAAGGCCATTTTTACTGTTTTAAAAACAAAAATTAGTCTAGTGAACATGATGAAATTCTGAAACTCATTCCTGGGATGGAATTAGAATTGGAGATAACGGTGCCTGAAAATTTTCTTCCCTAATAACATTTGAGTGCGTGGGCATAATTATGATCTAGTCATTGTGCCGCCTTTGCAGATCAGAAAGTGTGTCTCAGGGGCGCGTGGGTGGCTCAGACAGTTAAGGGTCTGACTAGATTTCAGCTCAGGTCTTGATCGCAGGCAGGGTCCTTAATTCAAGCCCCACTTCCGGCTCCATTCTGGGCATGAAGCCTACTTCAAACAAAAAAGAAAGTGCATCTTGTACTATTAAATCTCTTCAAACAAACAAAAAACAGACTGGGACTCATAGTATTAAATCTCAGACCTTGGTATTCACATACCAAAACTCAGGCCCCTCTTGGCTACTTTCTAAAACTATCTTTCTGGGGCCTCTGAGTGGCTCAGTCGGTTGAGCATCCGACTTTGGCTCGGGTTATGATCTCACGGTTCGTGGGTTTGAGCCCCGTGTCGGGCTCTGTGGTGACAGCTAGCTCTGAGCCTGGAGCCTGTTTCAGATTCTGTGTCTCCCTCTCTCTCTGACCCTCCCCTGCTCATGCTGTCTCTCTCTCAGAAATAAATAAAACATTAAAATTAAAAAAACAAAACAAAACTATCTTTCTGTCTACTCTTGTGAGCCCATGCATTCAGTGAAGTGGCCTGGCGGAGGACAGAGGAACAGAGGTGGCACAGCCTGAAACTAGACCATAAAGAATTGGTAGATTACCTCTGACCTCACTTGTCTGAAGCCCCCAGTCAGTGCCCGTGCTTTTGCCAAGGTGGCCTTTCAGCTTGGAGCTATTTAACTACATCTCCAAGTCTGTATTGAACACAGAACCATTTGTATAAAAGGTTACATATAATTTATGCATTCTGTTCATTTTTAATCTTTTTCAAGGAACTGAAATGATTCTATTTGGAATAGTTTGTTTATTCATTGTTAATTTCCATCGTTGGTGTGATGAAAAGTTAATAAAATGACTGATTGGTTAGTTCTTCAAACTGATCTTTGTTCAGCTAGTTGGGGAAAGGCAGACTAGAAAGAAAATACAGGCCCCAAAGATGAAAGGGAAAAAGTTGAAAAGCCAAAGATTCGGTCTTAATCCTTTTAATTTGGACTACTGTGGCTTCTAGTGTATCTATATCAGAACCCTCTAATAGTGCCTGCTCCTAGAAAGGCAGCATTGCATAGTGCTTTTGGAAGATTGACCCAAGCATGAGCTCTTTTGAAATATGGATGAGTTTGGGATGAAGCCTGTATTTCTCTTTATAAAAATGGCCTCCTTGGGGTGCCTGGGTGGCTCAATTGGTTGAGTGTCTGACTTTGGCTCAGGTCAGTGAGTTCAAGCCCCGTGTCGGGCTCTGTGCTGACTGCTCAGAGCCTGGAGCCTGCTTTGGATTCTGTTTCCCCCTCTCTCTGCCCCTCCCCAGCTAACGCTCAGTTCTGTCTCTTACAAATGAATAAATGTCAAAAATTAATAAAGTGGCCTCCTTTACTCTGTTAACTTATTTCCTGTTAACCTGGACATTTTCAGATGCTTATTTTGGAATTACTTTCTTGTGTGATGACTATGAGCATTTTCAGGACAAAAATGGAAATGTTTGGAGGATAGAATGGCCAATAAAGCACTAATCAGTATTCTTAGTTTATATGGGCATGAAAAGAGATCTTAAATTCTTTTTGGTTTTAATTATATAATTGACTAACATCTAAAACAGTGCACATTATTCCTCCTTTATTAACTTGGATTTTGAAATGGGACTGACCCAGTGATCATCATTTTCTTTGATAACAGTGTTTAAAAGTGTTAAATGTTGAAACCTTAGAATGGGTGAACTTTAACAAGATTTGATTCTTTGACTGCAAAGGACATCATTTTGAAAATTATTTTGGGGAGCACCTGGGTAGTTCAGTCATTTAAATAGCTGACTTTTGATTTTGGCTCGGGTCATGATCTCATGGTTTGTGGGTTCGAGACCCACGTAAGGCTCTGTGCTGCAGGTGTGTAGCCCACTTGGGATTCTCTCTCTTGGCTCCTTCTCTGTGTGCACTCTTTCTCTCTCTCAAAGAAATAAACTTTTTTAAAAAATTGGTTTTTAATTGAAGTATTATTGACACAAATATTAGATTAGTTTCTCGTGTACAACTTACTGATTTGACAGGTGTGCATTATGGTCTGCTTTTCCCACAGGTGAGGTTACCATGTGTCTCACGATAGAGCACTGTTACACAATCATAGGCTATATTCCCTATGCTGTACTTGTTATCCCTGCAACTCATTGGTTTCTGATTGGTTTCCCATTGATAACTGGGAACCTGTACCTCCCACTTGCTCTCATTTTGCCTATCCCCCTCCCCCGCCCCCCACTTCCCTTTTGGCAACCACCAGTTTGTATTTATGGGTCTCTTTTCTTTTCTTTTTTTTTTTTTTTGTTCATTCATTTTGTTTTTTAGATTGCACATGTAAGTAAATTCAGATTGTTTTCATCTGTGTCTGACTAAATTCATGTAGTATAATACCCTCTAGGTCTATCCATGCTGCAGTTAGCAAGACCTCATTCTTTTTTATGGCTAATAGTCCATTAAATTATAATATGCCACCTATCTGTTCATCGATTTATGGACACTTTGCTTCCATATCTTGGCTTTTGGAAATAACGTTGCAATAAATGCGTGTGTACATCTTTTCAAGTTCGTATTTTCATTTTCTTTGGATAAATAACCAATGGAATTACTGGATTGTATGGTATTCCTATTTTAATTTTTTAAGGAACTTCCTTACTGTTTTCCACAGTGGTTGCACCAATTTATGTTCCCACCAACAGTGCGTGAGCGTTCCTTTTTCTCCTCATTCTTGTCAACACGTGTTACTTCTTGTCTTCTTGATTCTAGCCACTCTGACAGGTATAAGGTGATGTCTCATTGTAGTTTTGCTTTGCATTTCCCTGATTAGTGATGTTGAATATCTTTTCATGTGTCTGTTGAAAAGCGTCTGTTCAGGTGCTCTGCCCATTTTAATCAGATCATCAGATTTTTTTTCTTGGTGTTGAGTTGTATGAGCTTTTTATATATTGTGTATATTAATTCCTTATTAGATACATCATTTATGAATATCCTCCAATTCAGTAGGTTGCCTTTTCATTCTTTTGGTTTCCTCTGCTGTGTAAAAGCTTTTTATTTTAGTATAGTGCCAGTAGTTTAGTTTTGCTTTTGTTTCCTTTGCATAAGACACACTTAGAAAAGTGTTGCTAAGACCAGTGCCGAAGAGATTACAGCCTGTGCTTTCTTCTAGGAGTTTTATGGTGTCAGGTCTCATACTTAGGTCTTTAACTCTGTTTTGAGTTTACTTTTGGGTATGGTATAAGAAAGTGGTCCAGTTTCATTCCTTTGCATGTAGCTGTTCAGTATTCCCAACACCATTTGTTGAAGAGACTTTTTCCCCATTGTTTGTTTGTTTTTTTAATTTATTTTTTTTATATTTTTATTTATTTCTAGGAGAGAGAGAGACCGTGTGAGCAGGGGAGGGTCAGAGAGAGAGGGAGACACAGACTCTGAAATAGGCTCCAGGCCCTGAGCTGGCAGTCAGCACAGAGCCCGACGTGGGGCTCGAACCAACGAACCGCGAGATCATGACCCAAGCGAAAGTTGGACGCTTAACCGACTAAGCCACCCAGGCGCCCCATGTCTTTTCCCCATTGCATATTCTTCTTGTAAAGGACATTTAAAAATTAAAATTTTTTTTTTCTCTTTCAGAGAATTGTAAGTGCTCAGAGCTTGGCTGAAGATGATGTGGAATGAGAAACCAATGTCAACATAATCTCAATTAAAAATATTTTTAAAATCTTAACTTGGAAGATGAGCAGCTCTGGGGGAATAAGGGCAAATAGGCTGGTTATGGACTGTCCTACACTGAAATCTACCAAAGTTAATTTTTACTTTGTGTAGATCCATTTGTCTGTTTTATTTATTTTTCCCAGTGAAAAGTGTATTTTGATAGAAATCTTTTCATTTTATAAATACACTACGAGTTACCGAAATATGGATTTATTTTATTCCTAAAATGTGCAATTAAGATATATAACATCACATTAGTTACATTAAAAATACTCAGTGCTTAGTTTTGAAAACGTAGGAGAAAGCTGAAGAATGCACGTTTTTTTAAGCTAGTTCATTTTGTTCTCTATAAAAGAGTTGGATGGAAACTTGCTTTGTCAAAACTAAGCATTAAAATCTTTGAGAGATCATTTCTTTCCTTTTAATCTTTTAAATATGTGAGATGTGCTGCTGTGCTGTATTAACTCACCTCCGTGTGTATTTGTCTTGAAATGTTTTATTCTAATCAGTGAGCTTAATGTGTTAAGGATATTTATCTCCTTGTATTTTAAATGTATGTAGTTGCAGATAGCACTGGGAATTAATCTATGTACATTCTTAATCTAGCCATGTGAGCTTCACCGATTACCGTCTGCCCTTTTTCCTCATTTATAAATGAGGGAATTGGTCTGCTAATTCAGAGAAGTGTCCCTTTCAGCTTTTGATTCATTTGGTTCTGTTTAGCATCTTCAAATCCACCTTCTCCTGAGGTATATGTTTGTTTGGACACTCAGGCCTTGCATTTTTTGTACTCTGAATTTTGCATGCTTGCCTGACTTAGTATTTCTGAATTGATTCTCTACCACCTTTTTTTTTTTTTTTTTAAAGATCCAGCTTATGTTGATTTTTACTGAAATCATACGGTTCTGTCACTCCTCTCGTAAATCTGAAACTTTTAGGGTAATTGGGATGATATGCTTGTAAAATGTTTGTTCCCTTTTGTTTTTATCTTCAGTGTATCTCCTTAATCCTCTTTCCCTCTGATCCATTTATCTTGCTATGATGAGAATAAGTTGTAACCTTGTAGCTGAAGACCTGAAAACAATGGAGGTGTTCTCAAAATAGTGACATGTTATCTGCAGTCACAAATTCAACATTGGACCTGAGAATAAAGATCCTTGGTACTTGCTGTCATCTGTTGAACTGAGTAACAATTCCTCCCTGTACAGATTGCCTTTTTTCTGTCTGAAAATCTGGAGAGATCCCAAAGATTTTCCTGGGTACCAGACTTTTTCTTTTGTTTTACTTACAAATTTTTCTTAGCCTTGGATTTTTGTTGTGGCTGGGATATGAAGGCAGGCATTTGGAGTATGGTTCTAAGTTTTTACCTCTAGAGAGCCCCACATCCTATGGCAGGTCACATTACATCTCTGAACTTACCCCCTAGTATTCTCGTCTATAAAATTAGAATGTCAGACTTGGCAACGCAGACATTTAAGGACTCTTCATGTACCTTCATGATTTGTGATCCTAAACACTTAAACAGTGTGCTTGTATTTTTGATAACACCCAGCCTGCTCTTTTGTGGGGATAGGGAGGTGAGTAGTGCAAACGTGCTGGTTAGTCAGTTTTGCTAATAGATCTCAAATCCAAAGCGATTGGTCAGTGATTGAGCACATTGGTAGGAAACCATCTTTTATCCTGTGCCCACCTCAGCCAGAGGGAATGTTGAGGCCAGGGGCATTCAGAATATAGGTTAGAGTTAGCATACAAGAGAGAAGAGCAAGGAGCAGGCAGCTCGGCAGGGGAGGAGAAGACCCAGAGAAACTAAGGGCCAGCTGGAGGAGTGAGGGGTCAGCTTAGCTGTGGGAGGTGATATGAAGGCTGTATGCTCTGGAGAGTTCTGTAGCCTGAGCAGAGTATCAGTTTTCTGGAAAATAATCAGCTTTGATCTAATGCTTGTTAAAATGGCTGTGGTATCTTCCCATTAGAGCTGATTACCCTGTCGTGTTCTTAAATGACAGTTTTCATAATAGGTGCCAGTTCTGAAAGTTAGTCGTTTTGTTTTTTTAAAAATAAAACCTAAGCAAGGTTTTCCCCGCATAAGTGCCGAACACCATTTCCTCTCTGAAGTTTTAAATGGTGATGGAATCAGGCAGGCAGTAGGGGGGATGCTGGCCAAATAGTGCTCAGCCTATGAGCTAGGTAGAGTGGTGTGCCCACGTGCTAATGTCACACTCTTGGCTACAATGTTTGGAAATGGAAATACGCGTGCATGTTGGTGTGTTTCCTTGGGAAAGAGCAGTTTTTCAATTCCACAATTTGTACTTAAGGTGCAAACACACTTAAAATGGGCTTACCTCGCAGTGTCCTGCTTTCCTGTTAACAGATGACTAGAACTTCGATTCACATTGAATTTCTATAAAGTACATAAAACCTGATACAGTGGCCATAGTAGGCACTCAGTAAATGTTTTGAGTGCCCTTCAGTCAGTTTTTTTTTTTTTTAACCATATTTCTACTTGCTTTTCTGACCTTGTTGAACCAGCTTATGGACCAGAGTATTAATGAAATATTGCAGAAGAGAGTTGGAGAAAATTGGTATATGATGCAGATACTACACGGAATTGTCTTGTCTTGTAACAAAAAATGCAGTTTTATTATTGCTTGTGCCTCAACTGTTTTAAGTGAATATTAAAGGGCTTGGAGAACATTTTTGCTTGGTGTGTGTTTGCAGACAGAAATCTGAATTTGATGACCTACAACAGTGGTATCTGTTTCTAGGTTGACATCCCTTAGAGAATGTTGACAGTTGTTCAGCTCCTCCCAGGAAGGGACACATTTGCCTTTGACTTCAGATCCCAGGTTAAGAAAGCACATTGCTGGGCAGCGGTCTGACCCAGGAGCACATTCTCAGTATTTCTTTTTTAATTAAAAAAATATATGTATATTTTAAGTAACTCTACACCCAGCGTGGGGCTCGAACTCATGACCCCAAAATCAAGATGGTTTACCAACTGAGCCAACCCCCTATTAGCATTTCTAACTAGTTCCCAGAGTTTGGTGATGCTGCTGGTCTGGGGCTATGCAAGTGTGACACAGCCACGGTGATGCAGAAAACATGAATAGGAATGTATTGCAGGATAGCAGGTATCACATCCCAGATGACTTGAGCACTGTACTCCAGAAATGAGATGTGTGATTAAAATGCCAGCTAACTGGTAGCCGAATGTGGTTATTTAAGAACTCCCAGTACTCCTTCAATAATCTGATGCATAAAAACTGTCAATTACAGACTTACGTGCAAGATAGGTCAGACTGTTTAAATGTTTTTTAGGATTTTCCCCCCATAAATAGCCTATCAACTAGACACATAAATTAAGCAGAAATTACATTCCCTAGGGCACCTGCAGTTGATCCAGTGTGCAGCTCTTGATCTTGGCCCAGGTCATGATCTTGTTGGTGTGATCAAGCCCCATGTCAGGCTCTGAGATGACAGGGCCCAGCCTGCTTGAGAGTCACCCTCTCAACAACAAAAAAGAATTTACATTCACTAAGCATTTTGGTTGTGAGTTCTAAAATTTTTATTTGCTATTTCTGGGCGAATCAAATGGATTTTCACTTTTAAAGGCTACAGCTGTGTTCTGGAAACAGTCCAGGAGGTATTGCAGAGGTAGTAAATTCTTGTTTAATTTCTTCTGATATTGATAGAGGAGTCAAATACTTGGCACTAATGCAGATATAGAAGCTAGGAATGGGGGGGTGGGGGGAGAAAATGAGTAAGAGGCTATGGTTAAGCTGGAGCTTGATCAGAAAAAGATGTACTTGGTGTTCAACAGTGCCTCTGTTACGTACCAGGAAGTGACCTGCACATTCAGGGAGAAAACTGGATCCCACAGGAACTTCATTGAGCTCTTAAAATCCATGTAGCCCTGCCTTTTCTTTGTAGCCTGTGGAAGTGACAAGACTGAAGTGAGCTGGCCTTTTAGCTCGTACCTGGGCAGAGTGGGTGTGTTTGAAGTTGTAAAGCAGAACCTGTCTTCCGTTTACCCAGAGTAGCTCACAAGACCAGTCCCTGGAGAGGTTAAACGTGCTTGCTCATTGACCTCTGGACAGTGCTCACATCACACATGGCAGTTGCTCGCTCTGCTGGGCATTTGAAGGGACAACTTGGTGGTCTTAGCAGAGACTGAATCTTAAAAACATAATCATGTGCTGTGATTAGAGCCCTGCACCCGTTTTCAGAAGCATCCCCTGCAGTTAGGACTCCAGTAGCAAGTATAGAAGCCCAACTTGAATTAGCAGAAGGGACATTTGTTGGCTCCTCAGGAAAAGTAGGTCTAGTCTTTTAGATTAGAGTGAGCTCCCCAAACCCGACAGCCCCCTCCACCTCTGCATCTCACTGTGCTTGTTTGATTTGCACTAACACTGAAAGAGCCTGGAGCTCCACTGGAAACACTTCCCAGCTCTAGAATGTATTCCCTCAGACTCCCTACTATCTCCTACAGTAGTCTTTTCCCTCTCACAGCTTAAGAAACCTTCCCAGTGTTGCATGATAAATGGAAGATTCAGGATCCCCCCCCCATCTTTATTGAAGTATGATTTACAAATTAAGATTTTGTATATTTAAGAATGTAAGATGTGCGATGTGATGTTGCAGTAGAGGACATGAAGATTCCTAGTCAACCTAAGTAACGTATCTGTCACCTCACATGATTACCGTTTTAGGTAAACTTAAGATCTACTCTCTGCAGGGGCCCTTGGGTGGCTCAGTAGGTTAAGGGTCCGACTTCTGCTCAGGTCATGGTCTCACAGTTTGTGAATTCAAGCCCCACGTAGGGCTCTGTGCTGACAGCTCGGAGCCTAGAGCCTGCTTTGGAATGTGTGTCTCTCTGCCCTTTCCTTGCTTGCTCTCTGTCTCTCAAAAATAAACACTAAAATTTTTTTTAAAAATCTACTCTCTGCAAATTTCAAATATACAGTACATTAACCGTATAGCCCCCGTGCTGTCCATTAGAACTCCAGAACCTAACTAACTCCTAACTGAAAGTTTGTATTCTTTGTTCAGCATCTTCTCATTTTCCACCCCCTTGTCCTTGGCAACCATCATTCTACTCTTTCCATGAGTTTGATTGGAAATTGTTTTCAAAAAAAAATTTTTTTTTTTTTTTTTTTTTTTAAGTAAGCTCTACCCCCGACCAGGGGCTTGAACTCCCAACCCCAAGATCAGGAGTCACATGTCCATAAGTTTGATTTGTTTAGATTCTACCTGTAAGACCATGGTCCTTTTGTTTTGGGCTTATTTCACTTAGCATAATACCCTCCAGGCTCATCCGTGTCAGAAATGGTAGAATTTCCTTTTTTTTGTTAGTTAAGTTTATTTGTTTTGAGAGAGAGTGCATGGGGGAGGAACAGAAAGGAGGAGAGAAGAATCCCAAACAGGCTGTGCACTGACAGACATGGGGCTCAATCTCACAAAGCGTGAAATCATGGCCTAAGCTGAAATCAAGAGTTGGCTCCTTAACCGACTAAGCCACCCAGGCATTCCAGAATTTGCATTTTTAAGGCTGAATATCCACACACACACCCCTCCACACACACACCTGTTAACATTTTTATTTCTCCATTGATCCCCTGACAGACATTTAACGTATTCTCATACCTTGCCTCTTGTGAACAAGGCTGTCATGACCATGAGAGTGCAGCTGTCTCTGTGAGATCATGATTTCATTTCTTTGGGACGTAGCCTCAGGAGTGGGATTGCTGGGTCATGTGGTAGCTCTGTTTTAAGTGTTTGAGCCATCTCCATACGGGTTTCCATAGTGACTACGCCACTGTGCATCCCTTTCTCCACATCCTTGCCAACGCTCGCCTCTGTGACTTTGATAATAGCCCTTCTGTCAAGTGTGAGGTTATATTGTGGTCTTGGTTTCAATTTCCCAGATGGTTAGTGATGTTGAGCACTTTTTGGCCATTTGTAGGTCTTTGGGAAAAAAATGTCTGCGGCCTTTGCCTGTTTTTAAGTTGGGTTATTTTATTTATTTATTTTTTGTTATTAAGTTGTAGGAGTTCCTCATATATTTTTGGATATTAACCTTTTTGATGATAGGTGGTTTGCAAGTATTTTCTTTCATTCCATTGGTTGCTTCCTCACTTTGTTGGTTTTTTTTTTCTTTTTTAAAAAAATTTTTTAATGTTTTATTTATTTCTGAGAGAGAGAAAGAGAGAGAGACCGCGTGAGCAGAGAAGGGTCAGAGAGAGAGGGAGACACAGAATCCGAAACAGGCTCCAGGCTCTGAGCTGGCTGTCAGCACAGAGCGTGACGCAGGGCTCGAACCCATGAACTGCGAGATCATGACCTGAGCCAAAGTCAGACGCTTAACCGACTGAGCCATCCAGGCGCCCCCACTTTGTTGGTTTCTTTTGCTGTGCAGGAATTTTTTTTTACTTTGATATAGTCCCATTTATGTTTCCACTGTAAACATCATGAAACTATTTAATAACTTTGCTTTCAAAATTCTAAATTTCAACTTTACAATTTTTCTTATAACATTTTAAAACCAGAATTCTTTTTTAAATTTCAATCATTGTTAGAAATTTTTTTTTGGTGTTTTGCTTTTTTATTTTTTAAGTTTATTTTACTTACTTGGGGGCGGGGTGGCAGAGAGAGGGCGAGACAGAATCCTAAGCAGGCGCCTCACTATCTGCGCAGAGCCCGATATGGGGCTCAGTCTCATCAACCATGACATGACCTGAGCTGAGATCAAGAGTCGGATGCTCAACCCACCTGGCATCTTGGAGTTTTACGTTGTATAATTGACACACCTTGGTGTTTTACATTGTATAATTGACACACAAAGTTATATTGGTTTCAGTTGTACAACATAGTGATTCATAATCCTATACATTTTATTTATAAATGTATAAATGCTCACTGTGGTAAGTATAGTTACCGTACAACATTATTATAGTATTCTCAGCTGTAGTCCCTTTGCTGTACTTTTTATCCCAGTGGTTAGTTACCTTATAACTGGAAGTTTGTATCTCTTAATCCCCTTCACCTATTTCTCCCATCCCCTGACCCCTCTCCCCTCTGGCAACCACCAGTTTGTTCTCTGTATTTATGAGTCTGCTATAGTTTTCATTTGTTTGTTCATTTGGTTTTTTAGATGACACATGTAAGTGAAATCATGGTATTTATCTTTCTCTGACTTATTTCACTCAGCACAATACCCTCTGGGGCCATCCATGTTCTCACAAATGGCAAGATCACATTCTTTTTATGACAGTAATATTCCACTGTGTATATATACACCACCTCTTTATCCATCATCTGTCAATTGGTACTTAGCCTACTTCCATATCTTGGCTATTGTAAATAATGCAACGAACCTAGAGGTGCATACATATTTCTGAATTAGTATTTTTGGGGGTGTGGGTGGGGGGTAGATACTCAACAGTAGAATTACTGGATTATATGGCATTTCTATTTTTAACTTTTTTGAGGATTCTCCATACTGTCCTAATGACTGCATCAGTTCGCATTCCCACCAACAGTGCACGAAGTTTCCCTTTTCTCTGCCTCCTTGCCAGCACCTGTTGTTTCTTGTCTTCGTGATTCTAGCCATTCTGACAGGTGTGAAGTTTTGATTTGTGGTTTTTCATTGTGGTTTTGACTTGCATTTCCCTGATGATGAGTGATGTTGAGCATCT